ATATATATATATATATATATACATATGATAGAAAAACAATTTTGTCAGATGAGATAAAAACATAAAAAATATTTCACATAGAGAGATATAAATTTATTTAACCCACAAGAAAAATAAAAACACAAAAAATATTTCACATAGAGAGATATAGATATTTATTTAACCCACAAGAAAATTATATAGTTATATTAAATAAATTTTGAGTTTCCGGATAGTTGAGAATTAGAAGGACACATCTGAAACAATATGAAAATAATTAAAAACTTTTAATTACATTGAAATTATCACATATTTATAAGGCGTATATCGTAGGATGTTTCTTAAATAACAGACATTAATCATGTAGCCCCATTCCTGATTAAAAATTGGGAATCGAAAAGTCCTTTACAATCATGCAATTTTTGCAATGAATAACGAAATATTAATTTCTAAAGATTGCTGAATAAGCGCGTATTCGACTGACTAATCATTAACTATTATGAAAATTGCAAAATGGTAAAGAACTTTTCAATTCAATTTTTGATCAGGAATAACATTATGTGATTCAGCAATCTTTAGAAATTAATATTTCAATCATTGCGAAAATTGCAAAATGCTAGAGGACTTTTCGATTCAATTTTTAATCAGAAATAATACATGATTAGTGTCTGTTATTTAAGAAACATCTTGTATAACTAACTAATTGTAATTTACAATATTCAATATATTTTCGAAAATTTATTGCTTCATAAACTGCATTCGCTAATACAATTTATAAATACAATATAAATAATATTTGCAAATATACTGCATTAGATAAATAATCAAGTTTCTGGACAAACATTGGCAAAGAATTTTACAAAAATTAATTTTTTTTAATTTATTATTTTCTATAAAAAGTATACTATTTATTATTGAAGTGAAAGTTAGATACGAAAAGTGATATTGAATTTTTGTTGCTGTTAATTAAAATTATTTTTGCAATCATATAAATTAAAAATGAGAGATCGCGATTTTTTGCTATGTAAACAATTTTTTGGAAGCGTTTAACAGTATAGATTGTAAAATATCTCAAAAATATTTTGTTCTACATTTATATATTAGTAAAATTAATTTGCATGTATTCATAATAATATATTCATATAAAATAAAAACTTCATAGTCAAAATTTATAGTTTTTTATTAATTCATGAACCAAAATAAAATTTTTTTAGTACATATTAATAATATCTGTTTCTAAATCAATCTATTACACATGAATGAAACTTTATATACATTAAACTGCCAAGAAAAAAAAAGTTTCCATTTTATGCTAAAAGAAAAATTTTTATCAAAAATATTAAGATTTAGAGGTCGCTGCTGAACGATTTTTAAATCAAAATTTCGATTTTTCTTAATACATGTTTAATTTGATGCAATTCATTTAATCCTACGATATACGCCTTAAGAAATACAGCCCGATTAATGTGAAAAAATGACACAATTTGAATGCTTGGGACTTGCTAAAATCTATTTTGAACTCGAAATTTTTTCTCATTAATCGGGCTGTATTTCTTAAAACATATAAGGTTAAATGAACTATTGTATCGTGTTCAGTGATAAAAACAGTACCACATTTGAAATCCGGATTAAGCCATTTTTAGATTAAGTTAAACATTAAGGAAAATCGAAACTTTGATTTAAAAATCGTTTACTAGTGACCTCTAAATCTTAATATTTTTTAATAAAAATTTAGGGGTGTTCTTTTGACATGAAATGGAAGCTTTTGAGCTAAGTGACCAATTAAAAAACAATTTTTTCCTTGGCAATCTAATATATACTATATATATATATATATAGAGTATCTTTTTTTAATATATTTTTATTCCTATTAAGATAAAATACTATAGTATAATTATAGTGTAATATAACAATAGTGCAAGAAAAAAATGTTCACATAATCTCTCTGTCTTTTTTATACATATAAATATTATTTAATATGATATATTATAATTTAATACACGAATTATTGTGGAAATGCACATGGAGTACCTTATAGTAGATCCTAGATCCGTAGACCGATTCGTCTTTTTTGGATTTTAATACACGTCAAATACCTCCTTGCAAAACTGGATAATAACTAGTAAAACATTAAAAGTTAAAAAATTAATAACTTTTAACTTAATGTAGTTAATCTTAAATGCATTAATTTTTAACTTAATTTAGTTACTTTCAAAATTTAATTTATTAACTTTTTTTAAATTAAAAATTTTTCTATTTTTTTAAGACTAATATTTTTTTCTATAAAATCTTAAACATTAGAGAATTAATTTAGAAAAAGTTCAATGATTTTATGATTAGAGACTCCATAATAAGAGTCCATCATACGATAGCCAATTTTTATTGGTTCGCTTCTGTCAATTCCCGCTTATATTTAAATCACACTAATTTTAAGTATCATAAACATACGTTATATTTTAGCAATATAAATATAAAATATGAACTTACATGAAAAATTATAAAACAGCACATCCACTCATTTTCTAAATGTTTATGTTTATTTTTTGTAACAAATATCTAGTCGGTGTAGTCGTAAATTTGTGTGAGCAATCATTTCAGAAAGTCATTAAAGAAAGTTAGATAGATGTTAAAGAAAGAGAGATAATGCAAATATGTATACACTCTTCTGTCTCGCAAAATTTTGACAAAATCGCCTTATGACTCTAATTATATAAGTAACTTACATGTGAATAAAAAAATTTAATTTATCTAATAATCTATTTTAATAGTAAAAAGCATGAAAAGCCAACACTAAATATTTTTGTGAAATTATTATATAATCTTTCGGAATTGAACCAAATTATTTACAAACACTCGACACATTTATCGTGTCCTCTTCAGTGTGACATTCAATTATACATATAAGAAATTGATAAAGTATTGTAAACATTTTATATTTCTCGTAAATTAGATTTAATTTATCGCTGCCTGATCGTATTGTTTTATTATAAAATATTAACCTTCTATCATCCTATTTTCGTTAAATACTTATAAATTCGCTGCTAGATACGTATTTATTCAGTTGTTACATTTGTAAATAATTTGATTTAATTCCGAAAGATTATGTAATAATTTCATAAAAATATCCAGTGGCTTTTTATGCTCTTTAGTATTAAAATTGTTTCATTTATTTTAAAGTCTTATTTTATAATTCTAATAATCTATATTGTAACTGTTATTTAAAATAAAATAATTTTTTTCAAAATTAACTTTTTTTTAAACGTAAGTTAATAATTCAATCTTAACTTTTATTAAGTTAATTTTTTATTCCTTCAACTTTTAATTTAATTTTATAAGCCATTAGCTTTAACTTAATTTAATTTAAAAAAAAAACATTAACTTATCTAACCCTGTCTTCTCAGTAGATACCGTTGCCTCATATTATTCGAGCTTTGTCCATTGTAACCATTCGAGTAACGATTTTCATGATGATAGCCTTTATTTCCTAATATGCCACGCATGCCATTTAAATTATATATATAAATTATATATATAAAATTCAAAATTTGTTAAAAATATTCTACAAGGTTTAATTATTACATAAATTATAATCTACTCTTA